TGCCGCCTGCGGAGGCGCTGTCCGGGCTGGTGCCGGGAGCACGGAGCCGGCCAGGAGAAACCGGGGGGGCTGCTCAAGGGGGGCACGTCCTGCTGCCCCTGCGAGACAGGTGAGGGACACCTGGGGACACCTGGGGACACCTGGGACAGGTGAGGGACACCTGGGACACCTGGGGACACACCTGGGGACACCTGGGGACACACCTGGGGACACCTGGGACAGCTGAGGGACACCTGGGACACCTGGGACAGGTGAGGGACACCTGGGACATGTGAGGGACACCTGGGGACACCTGGGACAGCTGAGGGGACCCAGGGGACAGGTGAGGGTACACCTGGGACAGCTGAGGGGACCCAGGGGACACCTGGGACAGGTCAGGGGACACCTGGGACAGCTGAGGGAACCCAGGGGACAGGTGAGGGTACACCTGGGACAGGTGAGGGACACCTGGGGACACCTGGGACAGGTGAGGGACACCTGGGACAGCTGAGGGGACCCAGGGGACATTGGGGGCTGTCACTGCCGCTGTCCCCTGCCAGCTGAGGCTCAGGTGACAGCATCCTGCCATTCCTGTCCCCACAGGTGTGTGACAGAGCCGGGAGCACCTGGGGACCCCCCGGATCCTTTTTTGGGGCGTTTTCCCCTTTTCCCGTCATTTTCCTGGGCGGGAGCCCAGCCCCGGGGATCCCCCTTTGCCTTTGGGGTTTTCTCCCCAAATATTTGGGTTTTCCACCAAAAACCCCGGCCAGGATGGAGCTTTATTTTTCCAGAGAAAAAAAAAACCCAAACCCAGCTCCTTTTTGGGGACAAATCCCAGCTTTTTATTAATAATAAATGAACTTAAATCCCAGGAAACCTCCTCGGGCTGGAGCTCCAACCTCTGGCACGGCTTTAATTTCCCCTCCTCATAACCAACCCAGAGCTTTTCCCTCTTTTTTGGGGTTGTTTTTGGGGTTTTTTGTTTAATTTTTAAAGTCATGGTTACTCTCATGTCTTCTGTATATGTTGCACTGAAAGTTAATATTTAATGTTTTAATTTATTTCGAGTGGTTTAAATTAATTTTGATTCCTATAAAAGATGTTCTTGTCCTTTTGTCTTGGGTTTTGTTTTGGGGTTTGGTTTTTTTTCCCCTGTTCTAATAATTTGGGTTAGAGTTATTTGATGTAAAAGGTGATATTTTTAGCCCAAAAAAATTCGTGGTTTGGGGTTTTTTGGGGGGGGAGATGCTGGATCCCACGGGGGGAATATTCCCAGGGATGGCTGAGCCCAAATTTCCCATGATTTCACCCCAAATTTTGCAGTCCTTGTACCCCAAAAATGAACTCAGCCCCAATTTCCCACGATTTCACCCCAAATTTTGCAGTTCTTGTACCCCAAAGATGAACTCAGCCCCATTTTCCCACAATTTAATCCCAAATTTTAAAGCCTTTATGCCCCCAAAAATGAACTCAGCCCAAATTTCCCACGATTTCATCCCAAATTTTGCAGTCCTTGTACCCCAAAAATGAACTCAGCCCCATTTTCCCACGATTTCACCCCAAATTTTGCAGTTCTTGTACCCCAAAAATGAACTCAGCCCCATTTTCCCACAATTTAATCCCAAATTTTAAAGCCTTTATGCCCCCAAAAATGAACTCAGCCCCATTTTCCCACGATTTCATCCCAAATTTTAAAGCCCAAAGTCCCAAAAATGAACTCAGCCCCAATTTCCCACAATTTCATCCCAAATTTTAAAGCTCTTATCCCCCAAAAATGAACTCAGCCCCATTTTCCCACAATTTCATCCCAAATTTTGAAGTCTTTGTACCCCAAAAATGAACTCAGCCCCATTTTGGGGTGGTCCTGGATGTTTTGGGGCAATTCCCGGCAGTTTTGGGCCGGTTTGGGGCAATTCTCAGCATTTTTGGGTCAATTCTCAGCACTTTTGGGGCAATTCTCAGCAGTTTTGGGTCAATTCTCAGCAGGTTTGGGGCAATTCTCAGCAGGTTTGGGGCAATTCTCAGCACTTTTGGGGTGGTTCTGGAGGTTTTGGGGCAATTCCTGGAGGTTTTGGGGTGATTCCTGCCAGTTTTGGGGTGGTTCTGGAGGTTTTGGGGCAATTCTAGGCACTTTTGGGTCAATTCTCAGCACTTTTGGGGCAATTCTCAGCACTTTTGGGTCAATTCTCAGCAGTTTTGGGGCAATTCTCAGCAGGTTTGGGGCAATTCTCAGCACTTTTGGGTCAATTCTCAGCACTTTTGGGTCAATTCTCAGCACTTTTGGGGCAATTCTCAGCAGGTTTGGGGCGGTTCGGGGCGCTTTGGGGTTTGGG